TTTCTTTAGGTCAACAATATCAGAATGAAGTAATGGAGTTTCTTCTAATGAAATTTCAGTTGGGTCCAACTCTTCCACATTTTTACATAATACAAACATTGGCAGATTTAGCTACAGCAAACGGTAATAGTTACTTGTTTCTTTTATAATTTTCCTTTTCATAAATATAAATTTTATCTTTTTACAAATAAATGAGAATAAGTTTAACAAATGATTAAAAATGCAATATTTTTCTTTTTAGTATTTGGTATGGTTCCATATTTAAAAGGCATATTAGGTGTGATGCTTCCTATGATGGGAATGGTTAAGTTAGAAAATACAAAATGGATTTTTGCTTATGGTAAAATTTTGAATAAAAATTTATATTACTGTTTTTAAAATTGTTTTATAAATTTTATGCTTTATTAATTATGGCATACTGTAAACTTTAGATACTAATCTTAGAATAAATTAAATTGAATATATAAAATTAGATATTAGATATTTAGTATAAAATTATAATAAAATAGTGTAATATTCTGTTACAGTTTAAAAATAAATGAAATAAATTACAATTACAATATGGAATAGTTTGTAATGTAATAAATACATGGTTTAGAAAACACAAGATAATATGTAAACATGGTTGTAATTAACTCTGTTTATTTTGTGTACATGTTATGTTAAATTAGATTTTTTTTTTATTTAATTTTATTAAATTAATTAAATTCTTTTTAGCTTTGTCTCATTTTTCTGAAGCTATTTTGGAATACTTAGCAAATATTGAAAAAGCACCAGATCCAACTGTTAAAAAGTCTGCATTTTCCACTGAAATTAGTAGTGCTTATGATGTATTATTTAATACATGGATTCAATCAAAAGAAGCCAAGGTATGCCTTCTATTAATAATAAACTTTATCAACAGAAAAATGATTTAAAGAGAGTATTATACTTTTATTTATCAGAATTTTCATTAAATGCAAATTATGTTCATTTAGTTTACAAAATTCACTTTTAATTCTTAGAAAATATAGTAGTTGATTTGATTAACATTAGTATTTTAATATATATAAATATATTTTATCTTCTCACAAAAGCTTCTTGAAGGTTTTTAAACTATATAACAGGGATGGCCAACACGTAGACCGCGGTCGACCAATTTACCGCAAAGGTTTTGAAAGTAGCCCGTGAAGCTAAAGTTGAACAATTTTCTTTCATTTAAATTAATGTTTAAAAATCTTAATTCAATAATTTATTCTTACAATAATAGACTGTCTGTGCAACGTACCCATACTGTTTGTATTTATCCTGATGAAAAATGCAAATGAATGTTAACGCATGCGCATATAAAAATCCTAAAATTGTTTGCCCATATTCATAGTCGCCCACAGACTATATTTTATCAAAAAAGTAGCCNGATAGGGGCACCTCTAGTGTCTGTTATCAAATGGTTATGGGACAGACGGATAGATGGATACCCATTAAATGGATTATGTATATAGATTGGAAAATAGCAAATAATAAATTTCTAAACGTTTTTTAAATACAGATTTTTATTTTATAATTGTAAAATTCTTTTTGTAAATTACAGTAATTCTTCCATTTATATAATACTTCTTTTCTGATAGTCTTAAAAATAATAATTGCAGACCTCTGTATAAATATTTCATGCAATATACTTAATTCGTTTTAAAAAGTTTTAGTGCAGTTTACATAGTAAAAATCATGTCATAAAAAATGAACAAAGATTTTATTTTTACATATATCAACTTCCCGAAACTCAATGTATACATACTAAGCCAAACGACTGCCTTAATTAATCAGGCTATTACTATGCTATAATTAATAATTAGAAATTAAGCCAGCTCTTATCTAAATTATTATAATTATTAATTTAGATACGAGATGACACCTAATCTCTACCTCTAGTACCAAATTACTTAGCTTCTAATTATTAATTATAGCATAATTAGCCCAATTAATTATAGGGATCATTTTGTTTAGGTTCATTTGGGGATCATACTTTTACTTATATTTTTCCTATAAATTTATAAAATTAATTATAAAATAATTGTTTTCCTCTTACATATATTCTTATATGTATGAGAAAAAGTTTAATTTGTATAAATTAATATTCAAATATTTGTGAAAATTTAAAAAATTATTATTACTAATATGTATAAATGTTTCCATAAAAATTGAACTTTGTATTTTTCTTGAATTTGTGTAATTTTTATCATAAATAATACAGGAAAAAAATTACTGTTTGTTTTTAAAGGTTATGAAAATTGACTATAATAATTATAATTTCTGAATTATTTTTGAATTATGTTTTTGACAAACATTAACATAAAAGAATATTAAGCTATAAAATCTATTTTATCTTTTTAAATACAGGAAAACAGGACAAATTTATATTGTAATTAATTTAATACAGTAATGTATTGTATTATAGTATAAGTCTCTTGAATTGATCTCTTGAAAATTATATTTTATAGTTTTTTGTTTTATTATGAAATGAGTGAATAAAAGATCACATACCAGTATATCAATCTAAGTTGAATATGTTAAAATATAAACACTATATTTAATAATTATAAAACCACCCAAAAGTCACATGTAATTTGGCTAAAAATCATTGAAGTAAGGAATGAGCAATTATTTACAGTGAGATTGTCACAATGCCAAGCTGCAGTTTTTAATCATATTTTAAAATTTATTTAATTAATATAAAATATATGCTCGCCACCTCAAATTAGTAGTCTTGCCCCTGTACATCATACTTTTCCTTTAACAATAGGGTCATGACAGTCATCTATCTAACTCCTTTCAGGGAAAATTTTTGAATTGAAATAATGTGACTTCCAATGTTAATTAAAAGTTTGTATATAGTTAATTGGGCCTCCTGCCCCTAATCTTTCCATATCGGGTCTCCGCTTTCTTTTATCTAATTCCGTTCTCCAGGTTAAGGAAGGACAGATATACAGATGGATGACAGTCGGAATTTGTCTACAGGTTGACAATTAGGTCTACAATTTATCAAATTGCAGCCCAACAAGCACTGAACCTTGAAAAATAACGCTTTGTTTGTTGTATACAATAACCAAATAAAAATGTGCTTTAAAAATATAAATTTTTAAAGCACCCCCTATAACACTGTTACAAATGCATGAGCCATTCACAGCTCAGCACATATATTTGTAAAATCTAAGTGACTTGTACAACGTGAAATTCATATAAAATGGAATAATCAACAGTGTTATAGGGGGTCAACTGTATTTCAAAATCATATGACCACTAACTAGACTTAGTAGCTGGCCATTCCATTCATGTTTCATGTATTTCTTAGATTCCTGAATCACAATAAAAATGCAATCTGATATTGAGTATAAAAGTCTCTATAACATTTGTGGATAAATTTCCTTTTATTTAGGAATTATTGCAGCTTTCAATTTAAATACTGTATTGTACTGTTTAACACTTTCATATATTGTCCTAAGATGCTCCAAACATTTTCCATTAGATTCAGATCAGGTGAGACAGCTGGCCATATCATCATGTGCACTTCATTATCCAAAAATCATTCCCAGATACTATGTACTGTGTGAACTGTTAATTATATTATTGCATAATAAAAACAACTGCCAATTTGATATGCACAGAGCAACAAATTGTTTTCCAAAAGCTTTCGTTAATCCACAGTTTCCATTTTTCCTGATTAAAAAAAATCATCATTTGTCTTACCACAATATCTGCAGCCAGCCCAAACAATGATAGATCTCCCCTTATAGCCTTTTCATAGAAGTATGGAAAATAATTCTGGTTTTTTGCAGATGGTTTGGATGGATGTGGATTGATGTGATAATGCATCAACTATCCAAACCATCTAAATTAAATTTTTTATCAATAAATATCACTTTCATATTTTTTCCAGAACATTATATTTTGCCAAGTTAAATTGATTTTTTAAATGCCTTTTTGTCATTTGCAGCTGTAGCTTTGATTTTCATACATTGCACATCCACTTCTTCTGGCAACTTTGGACAGTGTAGATTTAGACATAACAAGAAGCAGATTGCTACTTGTTCAAAAGAAATTTTTTACTTAGTCTTTTCAAAATCATCCGTTTCTCTTCAACCTGGGGATTTCTTTCCATAGTCATCACTCAAAAGAAAAAATTCACAATTGCGCCAAGATATTGATATAACATTTAGCAAATGATTTCATTGATCTACCAATATCTTTTCAATTTGTAATCTGGCCTCTTTCAAAGTCACTTAAAGTTTACCTTGACCAATCTTACAAACATGATTAACTGGAAGTTCCACAGTAAAAAAGTTACCTAGAAGGTTGTTTTCGTTGGAATAATTTCTGAAGCTTATGTAATAACAAGATAGTAATTCTGATTTTTATGAAATGGTCATATTATTTTGCAATACAAAATATCTGAGATAATAGGATAGATTTTTTTTATTTTGTTTGTTTTAATTAGCATTTGATTTTAATTAATAATAAAATATTGTAATCAAAAAGTTTATTTGAGCTTGACCTCTTTCTTTGCTGGTTTGTTTGAAAACTTGATAACACTTTCAGTCATATCATTATGAAAGGCACTGTACAAGTATATATAGCATTTGTAGATAAGAATCCAATAAAATAAAAATTGAAGATTTGTGTTTATATTTTAAATTTTTTTCAATAATCATATTTGTTCATGACTGTAATTATCCCTAATATAAGATACTTTATGTTGGCTTTATGGAATTTATTAATTTACGCTCTTCTGTAACTGCACAAATACAACTTATATCTCGAAACAAAAACCTTTAAAATGCAGCCTTTTTATTCATTTTTCCAAATGTTTTCAGCCATTTTGAAGGTTTTTGTTTTGAGGTATGAATTTATTAATTTAAGTTCTGATATTAATATTCCTAATAATTAATTTCAATTTCAACTCTAACACATCAATGAAGTTTTTTCTTTATTGTATTAATTGTGTGTATTTATTTTTAATATTTCAGGGTTTATGTATGATTTTAGATGCAGCTATTCAGAATGAAAGTACATCTTTAGAACTTCAGTTAGAAACTATTTTAAATTCTCTCTTTCCACAAGTAAGATAGATAATTTATTAATTAAAATTTATGAATTAGAATGAATTATTAAAAATTATTTTTCAATTTAGGCTTGTATTCTACCAGATTATTCTCAGCCAATTGGAGTAAAAAATCATAACGAAGTTCTGAGATGTTTTACAGTTTTAAGTTAGTTTGTTTAAATTTTTTCTTTAATTAATAATAACAAAATAATCTAATAAAATATATTAAAATTTAGCTTCAGCCTACAGCAGTAGGTTAATTAGTTTTCTTATGCAAAAACTTGAGAATTATAATGAGAAAGTAAGAATTGGAACTCTTGCTGTTTTAAAACATCTCATTAATTCTTGTGGTAAGTAGTTTGTTTTATTATAACTGAATGTTGTAATTTTATGAAAATTTTAATTATTTATTTCTGAAATTATTTTTTATAGATTCACAGTTATATGATAAAATGACAACTATAATCACTGGATTAAAATTAATCATATCAGATCCAAGTAATAAGGTATATTGCAAATATAATTTAATAATTATGAATATGAATTATCTAAACAATTTTTAAATTTTTCATTTTTAAATTAACAATTTAATCAACATTCACAACTTTAGCCTTAAGAATAGCAATTTTATAAATGGATCAATCAAAAGTTAGAATAGTAATAATGCCATTTTTTTTTATCTCATTTGACTTTTCGAACATATTGTGAGAATGCCAGGGAGAGAGACTGTGAGCCTCTACTCTGCTGACACTACATGAGAACAGCCTAGGAGATATGGAATAAAATGTCCAATCTCCTGACACCAAATGTGAAATCAGGGCAGTGAGACCTCTGATCACTTATCAGGATGAATAAAATTTAGAAAAGACAGAAAGATCAGTAAAATATCTACTTATAACATCAGGATCCTGACACCAGTTAGAATAGTTAGTCATGTTCAAACTCATGATTATTTTGGAAAGTTTTAATGTAAGTGGCCTAAAAGTAAGTAGGTAGGAGGGTGGGATTACATGGGGAAGACAATGTAGTTAGGGAAATTGACAACAAAGTAAAAAGTAATCAAATATATTTAAACGACTAAATTATAAAATCTATACATGAAATGATAACAAGTATAACAATAATCTATAGATTAATACTCAATGATTACAATAACCAATGATTAAAATATTATACATGGAGAGAATATCTATTCTATTCTCAAATGAGTTACAAAAGTCATTGTATGAGAGAGTTTACAAATAATTAAATCGTTGTCTGGTCCAGTACATAATGTGGAAGCGCTGTGATGATATGTAACATCTTGGAGACAGGAATGAAGACTTTCATAGACTTACACTTCTGCACTTGGTGAGAGCAAACTTAATCCAGGGCTAAAGGCTAACTATAGCCTGTGGCTAGAAGCATGATTGTACATGACTAAAAGTGTTCATTCAAGGCAAAGTCACCTTATATACAAAATGGATGGACCAATGAGAATTTATTGCATTCATTATAGTTTCTTAAAACTGGATATCTATAATCATTATAACACCAAAAATACCTTTAAAATCCAGTACAACATGATGTACACATGAACCTCAATGAAGTCACTATAATCAGCAATTCCCAGTATAATAACCACCTCAGAATACTAGAAACACTTAAAATACACAAATCTGAAGTTTAAGGCATATGCATAAATTTCAAAGAAGAGAAAGTCTATCATATGAATAGCATAGTTTTTACAATAATTCAGTGTAATCCAGTTAGTTTAATTTTGCAAACATACAGTTGTATCATTTTGAGTTTTTTGTCTATTTTTATTAATTTTTTCTTTCTTGTGTTTCTTAATAACAAATTTATATTAACATAATTACTGTCCTTTGTATAATTTTCTACACTTTATATGAAAGTTATATAATCGGTTTAAATTTTGTATCTTATTCTTCTAAGCATTCCATGGTTAGAACATTTTGATCTGAAGAAGAACCAATTAGGATCAAAATATATTTTACAGTATTTCTCATTATATATGTATATTTCTCATTGTTTGATTGAATGTACTGGTTTTGAAAGGTATTTTTGGTGTTATAGTGATTAAAATTTACTTTATAATTTTTTCAATTTTAAGGTAAAAAAAGTGATGGCTCAAGTAATTATGGCAATGGCTCATCGTGGATATTTAGAAATGGAAGGTGGAAAATATATGGTATTGTTTATTGTTAGACAGTGTGCTCTTCCAGAAGAACCTGCAGTAAGTGAAATTTATCTTTTAAATACAGTAAAGTCCTGATTAACTGAGACTATTTAACCAATTATCTAAACTGAATTATGGAAGAATACTTTGTCAAAAAAGACAATAGATTATAGCCTAGAACAGTTCATTTCTGACTAAATTTTCACTCGGTGATGCAGTATTTGAATAGCACTCTAGAAGTTTTACAAAGAATTTACTCTGGTAACTTCATAAGAAATACAAATTTTAAAAAAGATCAAAGAATTTTTAATTGTAATCATTGTAAAACTTTGATTTTATAATAATTTTGTCCATTACTTTATTGCATGAGTTTCATTACATATCAGAAAAATTTTATACAAATAACTGATTGCTTTTGCTTACTAAATAGATTTGGTTTTTTTATTGATCATATCAGTTCCATGCCATGCTTTTTACATTTATTTATTTAAGTATAATTTTATTTATGTTTCATCTATGTTATTAGGATGAGTTAAAAATGGAAATGCATTGTTGTGTCTTCAGATGTGAAAGATATATTTTGTGTTATCCAAGTTTCTGATTGTTCAGTTACCCTTGGTCTACATTATCTCAGATAATCAGGACTCTACTATATTAAAATTATATAGAAATTACAAATCACCCATTGAATAGGGTCGTAGACCAGCAGATCTAGATTATGTCAGCAATGAAGCACTTCGTGCAATGTGTGAAAATGTTATCCATCTTTTAACAACAACTGTAGAAAAGATGGAAAATGTGAGTTCTGTTTAATTATAAATTAAATTATGAAAAATCCATTTTAATAAAGTATTTACAGGTATTATGGCCAGATATGTTAGAATGTTTATTACAAGAAGAATTTACTGCAGCTGTTGCACCTGTCTGTAAAAGCTTAAGTTATCTTGTTGGCAAGAAAAGAGAATTAGGATCAAATTTTGATATTGATTATTCAAATAAAGGTAAGATCAAATTTTCATGTTGATAGTCAAAATTAGATTTTTTTTCATACCAGCTTATTTTATATTTTTACATAACAGCAACTGTTCTATAAACAAAAACATTTTAAATGGAACTGCATAAAAATAAACAAGAATTGAAAGATCTTTGTTCTAACATAAATATCCATTAACCCAATTTTTAGATTAATGCCAAATGATTGTCGATTTCTTCCAAGGCCAATTCTTTTCTTCTAGAACCATATAAGCTAATTAATATTTATTTAATTATAATTACTAAATTTATCAAGAGATGGCACCAAACTCCTACCTCTAGGCCAAATTACTTGACATTTAATTATTATAACCCAGTGTAATCCAGCAATGATTTGTCATTGATCTTTGTTCTATTGTATCTTAAACAGTATGAATAATAATAGATATTATGACAGTCATTAGAATTTTCTGTTGTATATAAGTACAAAATTACTATTTTAAATTTTGAATATTTAAAATGTTTAAAAGACCAGTATGACTTTTTCCAAAATATTGTTGCTTTACAAATATTTTAAGCCATTTAGTGATTGAGTTAAAAATCTCTTTTTCAAGATTAATTTAATTTTTTGCACTTTCTATGCAAAATGTTATAATTATTATTTTCTATAAAATTAAAACATACATACAGAGAACTTTTTTATATTTATTTTTGTTTTTTTACAAATTACCAAAATAACTACATATTTTAACATGTTATAACTGAAATTAATGTAAATTACATATTTTTAAATGCAAAGTTTTTTGAATAAATTCAAAAAACTTTTACTTTTACAAAAATTTGCCATTTAGCATTGTATGAAAATTAATATTTATTATTATTTTTTTTTTTTTCTTTTTCTTTATAATGAAGTAAATATCCCAAAACCATATGTGTTACTTGCAAGAATGATAGTGTTGCTAGGCTTGCCTTTTTCTGGAAGGAATCGTGGTCTTCCCCTTTTGAAATTAATGAAAGCCATTGTACCTCTTATTGATAAAAGTTTAATTGCTCTATGGGATAGTCAGATTCCAATAATGATTAAACAGTTAGAAGGTAAGATTTTTGATTGCATTTATTATAAAATTTTTAAACGTAAATTTGAAAATTAAGCTTTAATTAATATAATACTACAAGTAAAATAAAAACTTACAATACTGTATTTACACTTTAATATTTTCATTACATATTTTACTAAAAAATAATTTTTGAAGAAAGTTATAATAAAAAGTAATTTTGATAAAATTAAAATGTTTGATTTATTTTATAAAATTAAATTGAGAATAATTTTAAATACAGGTATGTTTTGCTTAATGACAGATTGTGTATACAAGAGTTATCATAAAAAGATAATGGAACTAAAAATTCACACCTAGCTCTATCTTTTCTGTTTATATATGTTTAGCTACATAAATGTGTGTTACAGTTGTGCTTCATATAGCCTAAACAAATGGTAAACTATACTATATAAGATATTTCTAAGTACACTCTATGGTGTTTGCTTATTGATGTATTTCTGGAACATATCCCTGTCATTAATGGCACATAACTGTATTAAATAAATGTAATAAAATTTAATTCTTACAGCTCTTATGAAAAACTAGTTGATAGAATATATAGAAATTCAATTTTTAATTTAAAAATTTAATTTATTAATAGTTTGAGTTAAATAAATAAAAAGAATTATTGTATTTTATATCTTTATTTTTTATAAAGCTAATTAAATAAGAATTGTTTGAATTTTTGATTAAAATTACAATTACTAAATAATGTATAAAATTATTATTTTTTAATGGAATTTAGAAATTGCTGACTCGTGGAATCAACAGATGTGGGAAGATCAATTAGTCGAATTTTTATTGAAATCTGTTGAAGAAGTGGATCGTGAAGATTGGACAACAAAACTTGGAAAATCTCTTTTGTCACAATTCTCTTTATATCCTAATCAACCAGATGATAAGGTAGATAATTTTCATATATTTATTAATTGTGAAAACTCAATTTTAAAAATGCAATCTGAAAATTTTTTTAGATTATTCTAATAAAGATGATTGGAGCTGTAATGAGGAAGATTAGTAATCGCCAGTTCATTAATAATGCCCTGGATGGAATTTTTGAAGCTGTTCAACATTCTAATCCAAAAGAAAGAACTGTTAGTTTGAAACTTTAAAAATAATTTATATTCTAAATCTATAAGTAAGTTTTTAAATTATCTTATTTTATTATTATAGGGATGTGCAGTAGCTGTTGGTTATTGTGCAGCAACTCACTTGGACGTTGTTCTTGTAAAATTAGAACAAGTTGCAAAAGGTGAACTTCGAAAAAGTTCTGGTCTTCTGGGCTTTATTAAGGTGATAAAAATTTCTATTTAATTGAATTTGTAAAAATCATTTAACTAAGTAGATATAAACAACAATTTAATTCTAGATTTATTTTTAAATTAAGGACATGTAGAATTACAAACTTGTATAGAAACTTCTTATTTCATACAAGAATAACATTCCAGAACATCTCACTCAGGCATATTATAAATAGTCATTAAACAATACAAGCATACAATTGAGACAGTAACTTTCACCTTCTAGCTAAGTTAATTCAATTAGAAAATAATCTAAACTAGACTAAGTGTAAAAGCTAAACAACTAAATTTGCACTTTCAGTAGTCAATTGACCAATAATGTTTAGCAAAACAAAATGAGAAAATGCTATGACACTGACCTCTCATGGCATTTTGAATATGGTTGCATGTATTATTTTAAATTTTTATAATTTAAGTATGCATAAATTAAGAAGTCACTCTATTTATATTTCATAGTATTTCCAGAAAATACTAAATTTTGCTATTAAAAATATCTTATTTCTATTAACAGTTTATATGTATTAACAATTTATTATACTTATTCAATAATTTATTCATTTTTTTTCCCAAAAATCATAACAAAAAGTTGGATGCCTGATTTATTTAAAACAGATTTGGTGAAACAATGCATGAAGCTAAGAGTACTTTTAGTTACTAAGCATTTTGCTTGCTTTGCTAGTCATAAATTTTGTTATTATCTGAATGACTTTGCTTAATCAAATGGCTGTCTATAGCTAATAGTTATAAACAATCTTATTAAATGTTTTTTAACTAATTTTATGAAAATGGGGAAATACAAAGTTAAATATACAACTGAGACTGACAGTACAAAATCTTTTGTACCTATATTACCTCTTAATTCAAACTGTCAATCAATTAGCAATCTTTTACCTTTGATTCAAATAAACAATGTAAGGAAGTCTTGTTTTCATTTAATTAGTAAGGTAATTCATTATAAAATACATTATCTGCAAATTATGGTAATGTTCCTTTCTCAGAGTTTACATATATTTTATTTTTTCTTCTTATTTTTATCTTTTAATATGTGGATTTGTAACTATTAAATGCTACAAAACAGCAAGAGTGGATGTTGCTAACTTCACCCAGCAACAAAGTCAGCAATGGTAACATTATTTCTTTGTTGTTAACCAATGAGATGTTTTCTTATTTAGCCTCTGAGTAATTGGGAGCATTCCCAGTATGACAATAAGGTGTTCTTACATGCATCTGAATTCCACTTCTGTGTAACTAGATATGAATGAAATGGTGTAAGTTGCTATACTAACATGTATACTGGTAACTGAATTACCTAGTTCTTTGAAGATTGTAGTAATTTGTTGCAATAAATTATCATGAGTATGCATTATTGTTTGTATATTTGCATTATATGTATAAAATAATATAAATTAAAATTTATGAGAACTTCAACTATATCTTTTTCATGAAACTTGTATACTTTCTTCAGTTTATTATATGTTAAAATTAATTATATCATTTTATGCTAAAGTAGTTGCAAAAGTATATTAAATTTATGCACATTTGATCCTTTCGTTAATATACTTACGAAAATTCAATAATTAATGATAAAAATATCTATTTCAGGATATTAAAGGCGATAGTGAACAAGAAAAAGTTAAAGCAACAGTTATTTTATGTTATGGATATGTTGCATTAAATGCCTCCTCTAATATTCTCACCACTCGAATCGAAACTCCAATATTAAGAAGCGTAGCTCAGTTTTATCAGTCATCAAAGGTATATATATTATACTAATTGTTAATATTGTAATTTTATTTTCTGTCAATATTTGTAATTTTGTGATGTTTTTTAAAGCAGGATGTATGTGTTAAACAAAGTATGCTTCAGACAATCAAGTTGATTGCTGAGGCCATTCATCCAAATCATTTAAAAGAACATTTCACATTCCGTTCAAGAGATGAAGTTTTAGCATTAATGAAAAATATTTTGAAAAATGAAGTTGCTTTACCTCTCACTTCAACCATTCGAGCCCAAGCTCTTGGTGCAGCTGCAAGTCTTGTGTATCCTTATTATTTATAGAATTTAATCTGTCTGTGATATCAATATATAAATTTATTCTTCACAGCAAGCCATTTTATTAAATATACAAGTGATATTGAGCTACATATAATTATGTATGTAAAATAATTGATTTTGTATGTGTGATTTATATGTAGATTAAAAACTATTTTGGATTAGTTGTAGACTTGTACCAGATATAAACAATTATAGCAAATGATATTAATTAAATGTTATAGAAAATACTCCAAACAAATTTTTTTTTGTCTAATAATACTGTCTAAAATTAATTTATATCTAAGAATCATATATACAATATTTTTATCAGCATTATTGGTAAGATGTTAAATTCTTTTATTATATTATTATTCTTAACTGACTTTAGCTCTCTTGATCCTCCTCTTACAGAACAAGATAAGTCTAGTTTAGTACAGACTGCATTGAATGCTGTTTATCCTCTACCTCGTGAAAATAGATTGTATAAAAATCATGAAGAAAACATAGAAGATATTGTGGAATATGATCATATGTTTAACAATGCATTTGAAAATTTAAATCAATTGCTGAAGCAATTGTTGTTGAAAGAAAAGACACCCGAAAATCTGCAGATTATTATGACGGTATCACATCTAATTAATGCTTATGATTTATTAATTTGACTTTAATTTATAGGAATAAATTGATGTAGATATAAAAATTTTAAAATAAGCTGTATATTTATTTATAAGAAATTACATACAGTAGTTTAAAACTTGACACCATGTTGTATGCAAAAACTAAAAACTGCCTCTTAAGGTAACCAACTTAAGTATCATAAAAGTGTTTTGTTAGCCCTCATCAGTTACAAGAAATACTTCTAGAACAGCTTTTAAAACCTTCATAGTTTTAAAATTGAATGAACATCATTACAAAATCAAATAATCTTTTTTTAAAAAATTTTGTTCAAAATTACAAGATTTTACAAAATATTTGCATATTTAAATTATTAAATAATTTTTAAAATATATAATAGCAAATTTTAACAATATTGTCTTGTATATTCATAAAAATCTAGCTAGTCTCCTTAATTAACATATTAATAATTCTTTTAAAATTTTATTGTATTTAAAACTGATTTCCAACAATCCCACAATTCTTTTGCATCATTGGTATTAATAACTTTGCATATTTTTCTATCTTATATATATAAATTTGTTATAAAACTCTTAGGAGGAAGTCCATATTACATTCTTGGAATTTCAGACTTATATCATTCCAATACATTGTTATCTCTTTTTCCACACTCATAATGTTAGTGATGTTACTATATTGCAGTTGGTTTAGTGACAGGTTTGTAATGTCTCTTGTTGCAGTGCTAAAGATCCTGAAGTGGAACCTATGTAAAAATAGTTTTCTTTATTTAATGACAGTCTTATCACATAAATTCCTGTACTTTATATTTTATCTAATTTGCATTTATCATTTTTAATTGCTCCCATTATCATAAGATTTCCTTTAATCCTTAATGACAATCCTGCTGGTTCGTCACTGATATGGAACAGCTAAAGATGCTATTGCTTTACCTTGACAATCAAAATTTTTTTATCTTTTACATTATCTTGCTGTGATTTACTAGTATCTTTAATTTAGATTGTGTGGGGTCCATGATTCTCTGCTATTTAATATGCCTAAATTCTTCATTTCTATGGTTAAATATTGAGGGATGTGATATTGCTCTATTTATTAGAGCTCTAAAATCAGATCAATTGATACTGCTGCTCACAAATTATTTCCAATGAATAAATGCATTTACTGCTAGCAATTTGTAGTAGCTTCTCATCTTTTTTATATATTTAAATCAAGAAAATGTATACTTTCATAACTCTCTTCTGTTAATTTGATTGTTAATCCTATTGAATTTTGATTAAAAGATTTTATTACTTACTGAACTTTACTTTCTCTTTTCCAAATAATTAATAAATTGTTTACATGTCATATTCTTATCTGGTCATGTAAGTAATATTTAACACTCCTGTCATTCATCAATTTAAGGACAATTTCAGCTATATCATCTGAAACTGGCAAACTCACTGGTACTCCCTCTTAGTCGTTATGTTTTCATTTTATAGAAAATAATTTTTAATATTATTTAGAAAGTTTGCAACTATTTAAATTTGCCTATGGTATGCTTTTGCTTATGCAAATGCATTCTCTCATCAGTAATATAGCTATTCTATTTTTATTGTCAGAACTAGATTTTAATAGTCCAGAACCATTAGCTTCTCACTTTTTTATAGAAATGGATTTTAATGCTTTAAGTGCCTAAGGAGCAGTTAATAGTATAGCTAGTTTTATATTGTATGTGTGATACTAATCTATGCAATTTCTTTTCTAGGCTTAGTGTATGGGCATATGATTTTTTACTATCAGCCTTAAAGACCCCTTTTTTTATTATTAATTTTAACAATACTGAATAATCTCAGCATTTCTATTTTTGAAGTGGATGTATTGTACATTTTGGGCATTGTGATAAACTATGGTTGGCAATTAGTTTGCATGCTTTCAATGCTGTCCATTTGTTCTTTATGGCTGATGATTGCTTCAGTAATGTGTAGATATTCCTCCATTTTTATCATATATGATTCTCTTCTAATGAATACTGGGATCTGTTTTAGAATATTATATTATTTTTTGTACATCATTCTCTTTCTGTTTATCCTGCATCATAATGTATATTATTCATGTATTATTGAAGAGTTTTATTCTGACCGTACTTGCTTCTTTCTTTGATAATTTTACACTCTCTGCTTCCATCTGTGCAATCATTGTCCTGTGCATTGTGATCTTCTTGCAATACAAATTTGTGACCATATTTAAGTGCCTTTTTTATCTTCATAGATTTTTATTTCTTCTTTCACATAGTATTTTGTATCTTTGTCTAAAGGTTTTCATTTGCTTTTTGTGGTCTGCTCATGTATAATCCAGTTTAGTTTTATAATAAATGTATTTCTTAGCTTTACTAGTAAATGTTCTAAAATTATATTAATATTATCTTCTACTGTCTTACAAAAGTTTGTTTTTGATATGGCATGTAGCTGAACCTCTTCTTTAGCATTTAGTTTGCTCCTAATACAAGAAATACTTTTTCTTTATCATAATTAGCATTCTTAAACATTTACTCATGAATAAGGGTTTTTAAAGACTTGCATCCTTTGGCACATTCATTAGTATATAGGCTCATAGGAAAAATTTTGTTCATTCTACATTGGTTTAAAAAAATATACTGTTCTTCAATCTTCAGTAGCTTATATGCAAATTTTCTTTGTTCTCTATCCTGCAATAAAGCATGGAAATCTACATAATTTAATCTAGAGTTTTATATAAAATAAAATAATTTGTTAGGAAGATACCAAAAATACTATCTTAAAAAGTTGTACGCAGACTGCCTATATAGGCTACTTACTTCAGCTGTGCAAGAATATAGCCAGATATGGTTCTATCATTTGATACAGTGGTTATGTATAAATATGGCTGTAACAAAATAAATATTCTTATTTCATCAATAGAGACAAAAGAGGAATATTTTTTGTTGTTGTTGCTGTTTGTTTTCTTTCTTTGTTATATTGAAGGATTTTATTTTCCTTAATAAATAAACACAGTTTCATTTTAAAACATTTATTTTCTTATACTGTATATATAATTGTTAATGTTGTGCTGTGTTTTGCACAAGTAAAGACACTTTCAGTTTAATACTCTAACAAACTTTACTTGTAAGTTATAGTAAAAAAAATAATACAAGGAGACTTAGCTCTACTTTCATGTAAACCTCTTGTCTTTTCAACTCTAGCACCAGTTATCAACAGCATCCCCTCGTGTTCACTCTGATTTTTGCTTACTAAATTAAATACTGTTTCTAACAATAATCACACTTTAAAATAGCTATAGTTTCTGTTATTATTTAAATCTCATAATTTGTATTAATTTCATATTTCTAATATAGTTGTTTGATAAATTTCTGAGGAAAAGATATATAAGGTATAAGAATAATGCATGCTTTATTTTCTAAAATATATTGAAATGAAAGAAATATGCATAGATTCTCATTTAGGGAGTCATTGTTTGTTAATTTCAAATAAATAAATGAAAATAGTCATTGGATCTCAAAAGATTATGAATTCATTTTATTAAATTGCCAAATTTTTCAGTTGTTTTTAAAAATATTTTTCAGTTATTAAATCCATGGATGATTTCAAAACATGATTTTGAAAGAGAAAGATGTATGCAGTCTATTTTTTTAATTCTTAAATCATATCATGAAGAAAAGGAAGATCTAGTAAGTTTAGATTTAATAAACTTATATTTCTAAATAATATAAAATGCCATTTTTACTTTAACATTTTTGAATTGTTAGATGTATAGACCTTTTTCTACACTTGGAGTTTGTTTGGGTCTTCTTATACCTCGTTGCACTGATCCTCAAGTAATCATTCGTCTTTTAGCATTAGACTGTATAAGTGCCTTATTACAAATTTCCAATGGAAGATATGGTAAGAGTAAATGCAATTTATTAATATATTTCATTTTATTATAATTATTTCTAAAATTTTAATTTGCATCATAAATATTTTTTATTTTATAGATACAACTGATGATAATAATGACCTTTCTTTAGACTTTCTGAAAGATCAAGTTGTAAATGATGCACCAGCTTCTCTTTTTTCTCTCACTAATGAATTAGCTAAGGTTTTCATCATTTTTTTTTAAATTAATTGATTGACATACAATGAAACTAAGCATGAGATTTTTCTTGTTATGCAGGTAGTTTCGTGTAGATTACCATCAGATCAAGTGTGCTCTTTCATTTATACTATTCTGGAAGGTCTGTGTGATCCTCATTCAAATAGTTCATCTGGAGCATCAGTTGTTCTGAATGGTGTAATGAAGTTAAGAGGAAGAGAAATTAGACCTGAAGTATTAGTTATTTGATTTTTTTAAATTAAATTAATATTATGTTACCTAACAGTTATTTTATTTTTTGCTAGATCCCACACATTTTAGAATGTTTACAAGTCAAATTAGGAAACATCACGTGTCCTCAAACTCGTACTGGAGCACTGAGAAGTATTCGTATACTTGCATCACATCATCTGTCTGCTATAATTGGAGCATTTTTAAATTCGCCTTTCCCATTTGATGAGTAAGTTTTATTTTTTTGTAAAATCTCATTATATATTCTGTTACTTTAAACATATATTTTTTATAGTCGAGTTATTGATAGTTGGAAGATTCTTGCTCAGGATAAAGAATTAGGAAAGAATATATTAGATTATTTATTAGAAATACTATCAGACAGTACTTTATACGAATTGCAACCAAATCCTCAGAACCATAAGATGATGATTCAAGTTGCAATGCAGCAACCTCTTGTGGTTAGTAAAATTAAAATAAGTTTATTTTTGAATTCTTAATGTGTGACTTGATTTAATTTATTTTATAGGCAGTTTGTGCTTTAAAAGAAATATTTAGAGTGCCTGAAATGGAGCATTGTGTGAAAGAACATTTTGATAAAATTTTCTCATTGCTCCTCCTCGCAATTGGTAGTTATATCAGTACTTATCCTCCAGTAATAACTAATGAAGATGGTAGGAAAGACAGTACTTTTAGCTTTGGAAAATTTTTCTCTGATAATAAAGGTGTAAAGTTGAATCCTATTAGGTAAGTGTTTTTTTGCTTGATTTTTGATTTAAGCAAAAACTTAATATTTAAATTAACATAATTCTTTTTTTATTACATAACAGATATATCACTGATACTTTTAAGGCATTTTTAATGTGTGCTAAACAAGAGAACATTGTATCTCATCTAACAGAAGGAGGCTATTGGGTAGTGATGCAAGATGAAAATAAATATCCTGAAGCTATTGCTGTTTTAGCAGAGTGAATATATGTATTTTCATGTTTTTTTAATTATTATTTCATTAAATTAATTGATTTCCATTATTTTTAGTGCACTATGTACTTACTCTCCAAGTCACATTCCTAAAATTGTTGCTAATTTGAATAGTGCATTAAATAGCATCTGTGAAACACAACGTATTGTAACAGTAGCATTGTTTGCTGAATTACTTTCCAAAGAATATCATGAGAAAAACACATTGACAGAACCTTTAATGAACAATCTGCTCGGCAGATTAGTGGACACTTCTCACATAGTCAGACGTTTATGCATTAGAGGTTTAGGATGTGTAAGCAGGTTAGAGAAGGATCAGGTATTGAATTTTAAGATTTATATTAACATTTATAATAATACTTTACATATTTTTAAATATTTATTTATAATAAAATGACATTATCTTTAATCAAATCGTAATTAATTAATTAAAGTATTTAAATAACAATGATCATCATTTCAAAAATTTTTCTGAAGCCATCATGTGAGGATGAATGGATAGGGGTAAGTTAAAATAGAGAGGATTCTTTTATGTCAGGCTTATTTGTTTATAAATGAAGCATGTTGTGGTTCCTATGGTTTCTTCTTAACATATCTGCTTTTGTCAATCATGTTGTGGTATCTCATTATTATTGCATGATATATATGGATATTGTTTTCTATGTGCTGTAAAATTGCAGAAATTTCAGTGGCAAAGTTATGTTGCACTTTTGAAGTGTGTTGAAAACAAGAAAATGTGGTTTTATTAAAAGTATTTAATTTTTAAATTCAGATACAGAGATATTCTACTACAGTATTATCAGCTATGATGGCTGGAATGGATGATAAAGATGATCCAGATAGTGATATTACTTTAGAAGCGATGAGTGGCTTATCATCTGTACTAGCACAAGTAGCTGAACAGGATGTCAGGGGAATATTAGTAAATATTGCCCTTCGTATTCGACCAATGTTTGATAAGGTATTATAATTTTTATTAAATATATTGTGTTTTGTCAATTTGAAAATAATTATTTATAAATTAGATTATATCTTAAAATTTATATGTTAAATTAATGCTTCAAATAATTTAAAACAGTGTTTCTCAAAGAAATTAATTTTATTTCTAATGGAGAAAAAGGTTAACTCTTTCTGTAGAGCATCTAATTAAAAGGTTAGGCCCAAATTCTAATATGTCTGAATATGATTTTTGTTTATTGGGGAAGTTATTTGCCTGAATTAAAGAAAAAAATCTCACTTTTTTGCATCATTTAGTCTAAATTTGCATTAATGAACTGATATAATTTTGAAATAATGGAAACATTAATAAGAAAACAAAACAAGGGTTATTCATAAATTATGTAATACTATTTTTATACTTTTCAACTATCATCACATCCCCTGTAACACTGTTATGTACTGTACAATAGATACACTCCAAAATTATATAATGCATATCCTTGATCAATTTCTTTAATTATCTAAGAAATAATACATAGCATGAGATACCGAAAGTTACATTATTTTATTAATTATGTGTATAATGTACAGTATAAAGCAGTAACAAATAGTATGCAACTATGTAACACTTTTTCTTTCATGTTTGTTTTTGGCAAATTAGACAATGAAAGATATATCCAAATCTGAGAAGTTGTTGCTATTTGGCAGAAAACTGCTAGTAGCTTAATCCCTACATCTCTGTGCTACATAATTTATGGACAACCCCTAACATATGCACTTTTCTATTTCTTAAAATATAGCATTTTATTTACTATTATTTCTTGGTATTTCTCTATCAATATTTTTGAATTATTCAATAAACAACTTAAAAATATTCTACATATATTATTATATAAATTATACAATTTTTTAATAAAAGGAGAAACCGCTTATAAGAGCAGCAGCATTTTCTCTCTTTGGAAATTTATCACGTTTCGGAGATGGTCCATCCAAAGAACCATTTGTAGAACAGATTCACAACAATTTTGTCACACTATTGTTACATTTAAATGATGAAGATCAAAATGTCATAAAGGTATTAATAGAAGTCATTAATTTTAATTAAATAATTAGAAAATTTAAAATAAAACAAATTTTTCTTCCTCTTTAGTCATGCAAACAATCCTTACGTCTCTTAGGGCCTATGCTGGGCTCAGATGGAGTCAACAATATGTTTCAAAAATACCTAAGAGATGAAGGTCATCTTCATTATGGAGAATTTATTAATGATCTTACAAAAGCTGTAGTAAGATAATTTTGCTTTAAATTTAAATGATTTTTATGCTAATAATATTTTAATTTTAATATGTATAATAACATAATTTAATTTAGATTGCAGACTTTCCAGAGAAAATTAGTTTCTATATTACAGCTTGTTTATCATATCTAAAAAGCTCTTCACCTATAATCCAAGGAAATGCAGCTACTTTATTAGGTAATTTAATTACTAATTTCTTTAATCTTAATTTTTTTAAATATTAAAATGAATGATATATTTAGGTTTCTTCCTTGGAAATTTACCTGTTAATCAACATGGTACAATATCAAAAGAACGAATTTGTGGAGGTATAGTATGTTTACAGATTTTCCATTTCAAAATTTTATAGTCTAACCACGGCTTGTGTTTTTCAGCACTGATATTTTTGCTAAAGGATTCGTCATCCGAAGTTCGTATCAAAGCAGCCGAAGCACTCAGTTTGTTATCTTCCTACTAAATATTTGTTTAATTGGGGAAATTGTTAAAGCAAAGACAAAAAAAAATTATATTAAAGAATTCAGCGAGATTATTTTTGTTTAGAAAAGAATGTAGTTTTTAGAAAATTATTCAAAGCTAAATTTTAAATATTTAAGGATCATTCCACTCCACTTGCATTAATGTTGTATCCATATATGTATATATAGTTTATTATAAAAAAATCTAAGTAATGAAATTAAGTTGATGATCAAATTTATTGGGTCCATTGAAAATGTGCCAACTAATTGTATATATCAGAGTACGGTGAATTTACAATGGCATCTCATAATTTATGATATCCAAATTTTGGTTGTGCAATAGGAAACTATTTTCAGTTACAAATAATGAATTGTGTATAGAATTAATGATGTTAAAATTGTTATTATATTTAAATAAAATTGTATTTAATTATATTTAAATGATTATGAATATTTTATAAATTTTTACCTCAACAACTGAAAGACTAAAAGTAAGTTTTAGGTTTCTAATAATCAAAATTGCTATAAAATCCATCAAAACAATTGATGCTGAAATATTTACACATTAAAATTATTGTGGTATCTTTAAATATGTCAGCAAATATTTGGAATTTTATGGATTTTATTAATTATATTCCTTATTGCAAAGCACAACTGGTGAATAGTAAATTCAAGTTATTCTCTTAGAGGCAGTTAAATGAAGAGTTAATTTCAGGTGAAAATTAATGGGATTGCATACTTCCTCAGTATTTAGAAATTTAAAATGATTTCTTAGAAAATAAGGCAATTTATATTATAGAAGATTTATCATTTTGTGAGGTAAGATATTTGTGAAAAAATTTATGTATATTTTTTTTTCTTCTTTGAGTTATAATTTAAAAGTCCCAAAGGTACCAGCAGTGTACAGCTTTTTTTTATTCTAAACTTTTATTTTGGATTTGAATTTCTATAGAAATAATGATTTAAAATTTTGATTAAATTGAAAATACGACTATTACTTATTTCCATGAATTCATAACAGTTTGACCAAGAAAACTTGTAATAATATTTATAAAATATCTTAGTGATTATTTTAATCAGACTATGTCAGAGTGTATCAAGGAATTTCTGTTCTTCTAGAGACTGTTGACTTGGATTCTTATTGTTTGTTGCCACTATTTTCTTGGTTTAAGCATTCTCATTATCATTTGAAATATATTTAAAACTAGTGATGGCATTTATCTTAACATCAGACTAACAAAAAGACATATCTTTAAGATTAATCACTGTACTGAATTTCAAATCGTAAATATTACTAAACTCCGATGTTTTTAATTTTTGAATTAGCATTTGTTTATTCTGCAAATCATTTTAGTTTGTTCAGTGGAAGTTCTTGGCCAGATGGCTTTGATGCACAGAATTATAATGCTGTTAGAGTTGCAAAGTCGACTCAGATTTTAAATTTCAGTGTTTCTTGAATGTAGTGTAGGGAATACAGCATGCTGAGGCATTTCCAGACCATCTCTCATAGAGTGCTGCTCTGGAAGAACTGGCTGATACTTGTTATCGCCTAGTCTATCTGGCTATTTGTATGAAAATATTTTCACAGTACACTCGAATCTCCATTTATGTGAGTATTCTGCTTTCCTAAATCATCGTGTGTGAAATTTGCTTAAAGAATGAACAACTATAAAACTTAGATTGGGTTTCATAAAAGTTTAAAGCAGTTTATGTACAGTAAAACTTCAGTCAATCTGTGTTAACCATCACAATACTGGAGTGCAACCATTGTCTGAGAAGTCATAAAACAGCAGCAATAGTTACTTTATTTCGTCGTTCATCATTCTTAATGGATAAATTAGTATAAAAGGCTTCCAAAGTATACAGCATGGCTCTGAGCAATTGATTTTGATGATAGAAGTTTTACTCTACTTATTAAACAGATAGTTTTTACTAATTATGATAACAACGTTACAAAAAACAATGTTTCAAAAGCAAAATTTTTCTATAGAACTGGTGCTTAAAGACTAGATTCTTTTGTTTTATTTCAAACTCTTCCCTTGGACACAAAGAGAGCTCTTTTATCAGGCTGATCAAGGGGACAGCTGGATGGTGAGGAATGAGACTTGATATATCACAGACCAATCACTAGAAGTTAATGAAGTTCATTAGAATTTGATTCTGGGATCTTCAGAGTGGTAGGCTAATGCCTTAAACACCTCAGTTATGGGGGTGACTTAAGAGACCAGGCTGAATGAGTAAACAAATACGATTATAATAGTGTATGTGCAAGCTCACTTTTTACGTGTCGTATGTAATAAGGGAATTATAATGCGTATTCCTCATTTTGTCCTTAGTATGAATCAAAACCTCATGAAATTATTTCGCGCATATTTCAACTCGCCTAAACAAAATTGAGAGTCAAATACACACTTTTTATTGTACAATTGTATGAAATCTCGGCTGCGATTTCGCCTCACTGCTGCTAAGAATTTTTATTTATTAGCAACGAGAGTGAGTGACTCGAATTTGCATTTAGTGATTTTACTGATATTATAGAGTTCTACTATGTGATTACTCCTCATTCAATACATTGAGAAATTTACTTTTTAATTGTATTATTGAGCTGCAATTTAAAAAAAAAAATAGACCTATAAATACCCACTGTTTGGCTGTCTGACCTTCATTAATCTCGGGAAGAAAGTTAGATAGATGAATGTCGAGATGAGATTTGGAAAGCTTATGGGCAGGAGGCCCCGATTCACTATATATGAACTACGGTTTATAACGGAAGTAATATGTAATTCGATTCAAAAACTTGAAATGTTTTCAAATATTTCAACTCAAAACTTCCCCCTGAAAGCAGTTAGATAGATGACCGGCACGACTCCATTGTTAACAGGAAAAGTATGATGTACAGGGGCAAGACTAATAATTTGAGCTGGAGTGCGCATATATTTTAAATTAAATAAATTTAAAATATAATTAAAAATTGCATGCCGATGTCACAATAAATAATTGCTCGTTTAAATTTAATATTGTTTTTATCGTTTCTAATTTTTCACTCTGATGCCTTATTAATGACACGTTTAATGGCCATGATTACATGAATTTATTCATAATATATCTAATAATAATTTTTCTCATTTTAACTATGAAATAGGTTAAATATTTAGGTTATTTCCATATTTGTTCGTCTGAAAAAAGGTCCAATAAGGGTTTAAATTCATGAATAAAAAAATTTAATTGCTTTACAAAGTTTTGTACAAGATTACTGACAATGTCGCTGCTATTTTTTCTATTGCTTTGAAGATTTAATCCAGTTTTTAATATGATTTAGAGATATTTTGATATAAAACTTGTCGTTTTTCTTCTATATTAACTAAGATAATAAGCAACAATAACCTAATATAAATTATAAACTAATTTTGTGTGTATTTGCTACTGTTTGAGATGACAATGAACTCAATACTAGATGATTCTTACTTTTATATGAATGAACTGTATTTAAAGATATATTTTAATCATTAACAAATTTTAGATGGAAAGCAATCAGATGTGTATTTAAAATGAATAAAATATTTCTCAACTAATTAAAGCTGGATTTTTAAAATTATCAAAAAGAATGGAATGTAGTACATCTATTATTTATGCTACGAACATCATTTATTTTTTCGTTTAGAAATTAAAGGAGACATTTAAAGAAAAATAAATAAGTTGTCAATTAATCAATATTTATTAAAAGTAATGCTAAAGGAATAATAAATTTCAATAGAAACTTCGTACATTGTTTTTACGGGTAAGATCCCGAATCTTGATAATGGCATTTAGTAGCATTTGATGCCGTCGGTTGTTCACTAGAAAGGTTTAAGATAATTAATTTCAAAATATTTAAGTAATTATTGTCAGATTAATCGTATCGATACTCGCCTATTGGAAGAAGTGTTGTCTGTTTGGGTGCAATTTATGCACTTTATTCGGAGTACATCGAAGAAAAGCACTCCGACGACAGAAGGAAAACCACATTCTTCTTCGTTTACAGTTTTAAGACATTGGCGAAGTTGCTGGTCACATTCGCAAGACACTCTAATAAAACAAAAGAAATATTGATTTAATCATAGTGGCATTATCTGTACAATGAAAAACAAATACATTTCATTGACATAAATTTTTAATTATATTTAAAATGTTATCTAAATAGAAATATATCTGTACACAAATATGCATATTTCCATTTAGATTTTGAGAAAAATTTCAATTAAATGTTTCTAAAAAAAGAAATTAAATTAAATTCAAATTTCTCAAAAGAAAATAATTTGAATATTTATAATTTATATTTTTGATACGAAATTAATAATGTTTTTAGCGTTAACAATAGATAAAATATTTAAAAGTTTACCGGGCACTAACACCATCGTTGGTTAAGTTATATTTAGTTTCTCCAGGATTAATCACTACCGGACATTTATCGTGCTGTCGACAGCAGGAGTCGGTTTTTTTGAATATACCCAGATCCGAGTCATTTTTTGCTCTATCTCCCCGTCCGCACCATTTAGTTCCTAAGAATTATACTAATTTTTAGGCTACAAACTTTATTAAAATTCAATAATGTGTCAAAAATATTTGCCAATTTCTTACCTGGAACTATGGCTACTCCTTGCAATGGATCACTAACATTTACTTTTGAGGGTAAAATATTGCTGATCAGATTACTAATACTTAAACTGTGAATAACAATATTCAGAATATTACAATCTGATCTTGTTTCCGGTAGATTAACAATATTGGAACTGAATAATTAAATCATAAATTATTATCAGATTAATTTTAATATTATTGGTAATTGACATACCTGTTAAAACTAATGATAAATAACATACCTATTATTGAAAATTATACATTCTTTCATTGTATTGATATTTAAACATATTAATATCTTATCATTGAATTGACGAATGTCCAGGGAATCATTATCCACCTGACTCGAATAAAGTGCAAACAATGTTGCATATATCGAAATCAATAATAGATTAATCGGTGTCTTCATCATACTGAAAAATTCTGAAAGATATAATTATTAATTTAAATGTATTTTCCATATTAAACATAATGTGTGAGATTGCCGAATTAGGGAAAACTAAATGTCAGGATTTATCGTATGCGGGGTGAAGGGAAGCGAGGCAGAAAGCTGCAGTTACAAATAAACCCCGTTTATTTACGCTAAATCTTAAAATCTGTAGTGCGTCTCGTCAACTGTTGATGGTCCGTAGTGTCGATGGCCCCGGGGCGGTCAGTCCAGATGCTTAAGAAATCCCATGACGAATTGTGAAAACCAGAACAGTGTAAGGCACTGTTGACGTTGGGGATGAAGTCTGTATGTAAAACAATGAAGACCTGGCAGATAACTGACCACAGGAAGCAGAGGAAAGTCTGCCTTTGTCCTTGAGATCCAGGTTTTTAAAGGATTCTTTTTCCCGGATCTCTAGCTTTCCGATTGGTTGGCTTCTTGTATCCAGGTAGATAACAGACCATTTCGGGCTACGAAGGGTCAAATTCGATAGCACGTTTTATTCGATTAAGGGAAATTAATCGCACCTCGAAACTCCTGCTCGTATTTAATTGTTTTGAATTCTTGTCAGTCTGACACACAGTCTCCGCGCTACATCTCCTTTTAAGGTTATTTAAAAACTTTTTTTCTCTCGATTAATAATTTTATTCTTTTTTGATTTTATCTAGGTTTTTCTTCCAGTTTTTACGATCGTTAGAATCAAAGCCTTGATTTGACACTTTTATTCAATTTTTAACACTTGAACTCGAGTATCGCTCGGGCCTCACAATATAATCCATTTGTTAACGAAATTTTGATTTTAGAAATTTAGAATGATGTTTCGCAAAAATTTTTTTAATGGCAGCTCACTATTTTTAGATGGAAATTTGATCAGCCGCATACTTTTAAAACGCATAATAATGAGAGATTATTTATTGTGACATCGTCACAATGCCTGGCTGTAATTTTTAATTGATTTTAATTTAAAAATAAATTCTCTCCACCTCAAATTAGTCCCTGTACATCATTCTTTTTCTTTAACAATAGAGTTGTACCATCATCTATTAATTGCTTTCAGGGGAACTTTTGAATTGAAATAACATGACTTCCGCTCTATACCGGAAGTTCGTACATAGTTAATCAGGGCTTCCTGCCCCGAAGGTTTACATATCTGGTCTCGAATTTAATCTAATTTCGTTTTCGAGATTAAGGAAAGACAAGCGGACGAACGACAGTAGGAATTTATAGGTCTACAATTTTTTCAAATTGCAGCCCAATCAGCAGTTTATTGATTTTGAAAGTGTATCTATATGCCATTTTAACTTCTTGATGATTTTTGAAATTACTTGAATTCGGTTGAACTATATCATTGGTCAATAGTTGAAGAAATTGGATTTATTATGTAAAGCACAATAGATGCTTTAAAAAGTTTAAAATAAACAAAATATAAACCTATTTAATTTAAACCAATAAAATAATACACGAGGATTTAATAAAAATTATAATAAAAAATATAGAAATAACGATAAATATGCAGAAATATAATAAAGCTTTGAATTCAACACCATCTCGAATGCTCACCAGTGGCCGAGTCTATAAGACCACCGAACACTGAGTTCGTCTCACCAACGGCTAGCCACGTGAAGATTTTTTTTACGTGTTTAACACCTAATTATGGGCCAGTTTCCCATACAAAATCCTATCAGAAGGCATGTATTCTAGACAGATCGTCCGAGGTTGCGTTGTCGTATCCCACCAAACCAAACCAAACATCTTAATACTGTTGATTCTTATTTATAAAAATTAGTGCACAATAAAAGGTGATTCAAAAGGTCTTGCACAAACTTTAAAGGTACAGTACATACGTCAGGAATTTAAAAACATACCATTTTGATTTAGGAACGTTTGGTTACAAACACCACTCGGAGTTTCTAGAAGTACGGGAAGAATAACGCAGAAAGGAATATATGTAAGGTATACAATATATTGAACACTCGAGTAGCATCTGAGGCTATATGTTCCTAGGTAGTGGAAATGGTTTGCTTTTATATTACTAACCTACCTTTAAAGTTTGTGTAACACCTTCTGAATCGCCCTGTACAGTATACTATTTAAACGTTGAAGGAATTGAAACTAAGCTTAGTTAAATAATAGTTTTAGTCTTACTTTCCCAGCTGTTATATATAACAGAGTAAAGTATGGCAATCGGTAAAAAAAATTACTCCCAAGATTTTTACAGTTTTTGTCGAACATTTCTGAAATTTTGCAGGGAAGTTTGTTTATTAGGGGAATTGATGCCGTTAAATTTTGGTGGTTAAAGGTCGAGGGGCTGGGAAGATAATGGAGTCGTGTGTATTTCCAGTAAGGTCGAACTTAATGACGATTTTACTGGTTATTAGCATTTACGATTTTTTCTAAAACTCATTCCTACACTCTAAATTAAACTTTTGCCATTTTATAATAGTTAAAATGTAAAAAGTTTTTAAATAAAATATGATAACAGATAGCGCCACCAAAACTTTAAATGTTGCCGAGAAAGTTGAGTAACTCATTGCTGGCTCATTATTTATATGATAAAATTAGAATTTATAGAAGAGAAGAATCTAGCGAAAACTAACTACACTATCCTTACCTTTCATGAAAATTTAATATTATTCCTTGCACATTTATTTATATTCATTGTCGCAGATGCAAAATTTTCAAATCTCTTTTATACATATGTTTCTGTTTATGAATTTCCATGGTTACTTTAAGCCGATTAAATTCAACATCTGCTAAACTTTCCAATTTTTGTAAAATAAGCTATCCAGCTTACCAGCCTCAAACCAATTTATACAATATTATAACGAAATTATATTTAAAACCGAGACAAATATGCTTTATTTATTCATTTAACTTATGTGTACTGTACATTATTTGAAAATTTGGATCTTAATTTTTCTTAATGTATCGACCTTCATCGCCTACACTGGTCAAAACAATTAAGGGAACAAGAAATCTTGTGTAGAAATCCATTTATGGCGAACGATTCTGAATGTCAGATGTTGTTGTTACGTAAAATACAATAAATTCAACTCGAGTGTTATGTTACTAGTGTGACCAGGCGTCCCCAGTTTTGCCTATTTTTACTTTCCCGGCATGTTATGTATATAGTATAACACGAGAAAGTATTTGAATCGTGTCAAATGTGACCTTCGGGTTTTTCAAATTTCGATGTTTCGGTACTCTCCGAACCCAAAAGAGTAAAAAAGTAAAGAGGGAAAATTTTCTGTAGGTAGAAATGTTGTGTGTTTGCGTCTCCAGACGATTGTATCTGTTGATTTATCCAAGATCAGCCGATACGGGTGTTCTTGAGGAATGGGCAGGCGGCTGTCCGCTGATCGGAGACGTGATGCGGATGGAAGAGAAAATACAAGAAAAAAAGGCGGATTGGCGCTAAGATGTTTTGGGCAGGAGAACGTCGCGCTTGTATCCTTGAATTTTGGGTTTTTATCTCTTCTGTTCCCAGTCGCTCCATTTTAGCTTTCCTTTCTTTCCGATTGGCAGTTCACCTAGTTCTAAGTGAAACTCTATGTGGTGGTTGATGCACCACTTAACTTGAGTGTTCGTTGATTTATAAAATAACCGAAGCTTTATATCTCACCATGAACATTTATTTACAATCACGTATAAGATTTTGTTTTACACTTATTGAGTAAAGTTCGATCGGTTACAAGTTTGCGTCGGTACAGAACATTCACTTGTCGTGAGTAGGGTAGCCGAGAGAGAGAAAAAGATTATGGCGGACGAACTGCACATGTTTTAATAGCTCCATCTGGATTTTCAGATGCAGCGCTAGGTTACAATTATTCGGCCGCTACACTCTATTTGGCCGGATGGCCGAACGGTCAAGGTGGCAGCATATCGCTGTGAGGGACCCGAGATCGAATTCGGACGGGTCGATAAATCCCAGGAATTTTTTGAGGTTGGTCCGACCGGATATGTCGGCTCCCATCCCTCACTATCCGGCCGCTCTATTGTGGGCCTGACCGATTCCATAATGGGCTTGCTAAATGAGGCCCTGTTAGTGCCTAAAGGGGAAAAAAAAGAGAAAAAAGCGAAACTCTAGATACGATGGGACCTCGAGAAAGGTCGGCATCGATGTTGAATTTGACGCTGCATCTCGATACCAACCTGATGATGTTTATCGAACCTTAGAACTTTCGTTCGTAAATCAATACGTTACGTCTTCTCTCGAAAGAAATGCCTTTAGGGAGCATTTTTATTAATCGAGATATTTGTTTCTTGACGATTTTTATCATTTTTACGATCATAAAGGCGAAAGTTCAACTTCCCGTCCAGGACCCATTAAAATTCCGACACGTGAGTTCGAGTCTCACTCGAGACCGCACAAATTGTGTACAGTCTACCCCCATAACGTGGTAGATACGTTCCGCTTTATAAGAATTTCGCGTTGTAGGAATCCTCAAATACGTGAGCCAATCATAGCCTGGCACGTGTGCAGTTTACGGATTACGGCTGTTTGAAATGTTTTCTTTCATAAAATTAATCGATTCTAGACTAATTTCACTCAACATTTCCAAAACACATATAATTTTTTGGGAATAATCCGTATAAACTATGCTATAAACAAAAAATTGTAGGATTACTTACCGAGTGTGCACCGTTCGACCACGCCATTTCTTAAGCTTGTTTTCGTCGCGGAGCAGCGCACCAATCGGCGGCCGCGTTTTCTGATGTTATTTTTCTGAGAAAAATTCGTTGAACTTTGGAGACATCATTAATAGAAATAATTTTTATGACCGTTGAATAAAAAATGTTTTTTTCACAAGAAATGTATAAAATTACAGTACTGTATCAGACTTACAGTACCTAATTTAGGCCTATATACTGTACAAACGATAGTAAACTCAACTTACCCGCCTAAACTCTCAGTAGTATTAAGTAGTTCGGCTGCTCGTCCACTATTGGTCTACATTCGACCAATCCTGTCGCGACACGAGTCAAAGATGATGTTTTACCGCATTTTACGAGTCTCTTTTAGCGTCTTTATACGAATACGGTCGTAATTTTTTCGCCGCGATATACGAATCCGCATTATATGAACCTGCGTTATAGGGGGCCTACTGTACATGAGTATATTATGGTAATGTTCCTTTCTCAGAGTACACATATAATTTATTTTTCTTGTTATTTTTATCTTTTAATACCATGTGAATTTGTAAACATAAATTCTACAAAAAACAGCAAGAGTGGAGGTTGCTAATTTCACTCAGCAATAAAGTCAGCAATGGTAGTAGTAGTAGTAATAGTAGTAAGACAGGTATCACTCTGGTACAACCTGTTATGGAAAAGGGGGAAGATGGGGTGGGAAAGAAGAGGTGGGGTGAAAAAGGAAAGGGAATGAAGAAAGGATTGAGATCCATGGGCGTCCCGCGACTGTTCTTTATAAGGAAATGATCAGTAGAAAATACAATAACAATAACAAGAATGTTACAGAGGAATACATGTTGGGAGTGCTATGTTACAAATCGGAAATAGCACTAGCATAAGTACAGGTAATAACTTATACACAGTATGAAGATTAATATTGGTACAAAGTAGTTACATGTTGAATGCTGTCTGACAAATCGCAGATAGCACAGACATAAGAACAGATGAGAAACGTATGTACTGTACATTATGCAGATTAACAATAGTACATTAATTACGTGGGGAATGCTATGTGACAACGACAGATAGCACAAACGTATATACAGTATGCAGATTAACTGTGCGTGAACTTGATACAGGATGGGTGCTTCGTGCCAGATTGCAGGTAGCCCGAACAAATTATCAGGTTACAAGCGTATTTACAATTGACATTCTTAGGGTTACACTAAAAGCACAGACATTGTGATTTTTATTAACGCGTGGTGTTAACATCGTAGTTCAGTAGATTTGCATGGCTATGAGAGTTCTGCCGCAAACTAAGTGTTTGTCGTTCTCTCTGTGAACACTTTGATGTTCTGCAGATAATTATTCAGATGATTGTACACAGGGGCGAATCCTAACCAAAATTTTTAGGCATGCTGAAAGTTGTAATAAGAATCATAGGCCTATCTCTAGCACCAAACAATAGGCAGAAATATTATTTGATGTGAACAAAAAAGTATGGACTATTATAAAGCCAATTATATCTACAAACGGAATATTTGGAATACAGTATATTATAATGAAAAAGTATTAAAAATTTATGATAATAATTCAAATTTTGTGGGCCCTTGACACTGGGGACCCAGGGCTTAAGCCCTATTAATCTCTATGTAGATCCACCCATGTACACAATACACATATGCTGATTGGGTACTGCAAGCTTTCGATACAATCTGGCCGTGTTAAATGCTTCGAATGACGTCATGCGCGCGCACTTGTTTGCTGCTGCAAACCTGCACACGAGCAAGCGATCGAGTTCCCGTAAGCATCGCACTGACTTAAAACGGCTAGCCGATAGCTTTTAATGTAAAATCAAACATAATTGATAAAAGAGTTTACACGTTAGAATAAATTATTATTGGCATCTTTGTTCTCATGTAAAAAGTATATTGACAGTCAAAACTTTCTCTTAATTAAGCATGCGGCACTTGCTAAGCAAGTCCAGAGAATCCGCCCCTGATTGTACAGTACATGTCTTTCTCATATACTAGGGTTTGTAGAAGACACGGCCAGTTATGATTGTTTCGAAATGCAGCCTCAATGAGTCTTTCTCTGTTGCTGTCGAAGAGTGGACAGACAAACAATAAGTGAAGGTAGTCTTGTTTGGTGTTCGTGTTGCACCTGCAGGTCTCGCTGTCCCGTAGCGTGGAGGTAAGCGTTGAAGTTCTCGTCGCCAGTGAGAACTTGAGTCAAGGCAAAGTTGGGAACAAGATGCCTGCAACTGAGCCTGGCAGCAGAGGCGGCATAAAGCGTGGGCGACGTGGGCGACCGCCTACGGCCTCGCTATCCGAGGGGCCTCTCGCTTCGAAGGTTTATGCATTACGTAAAAGCCGTAAACACAACGAAAAAATTTTACTCGTTAACGATAAATATATTGACATACCAAATTTGTTTTTATTTGTCTAGCAACATTTGCTGGGGTTGGGTTGCTATCGCGGGGAATCCTTGCCAGCCAGAGCAGGGGATTTCCCATTGTGTTTATTTACGTCACTTTTACGATTCTCAACAGTTTATCATCAGTGCTCCTTATGCAATATTATAATGGATACCATCTACAAGATGGTGCCCATTATGATATTGCATAGGAAAGCCAGATTGTCGCGGTTTTTGTCGGAAACAAGGGCCACCGTACCCTTGCACCAAAAAGCCCGGTATCCTGTTGCAGATATTCAGAAGATCATTGTAAACTAGAGTCTAAATGGTCGGGTCGGCTATAGACCCCTGAGGACTCCCTTAGCTGCTTGGTGAGTGTAGGAGAGATTGTTCGTATAAAAGTCAATGTGCCTATCTTCAAGAAAGCTACTTATGATGTTAAAGATGTTATTAGGGCAATTATATTCACGGAGTCGATACAGGATTTCCGGCCAACATAAGTTATCAAATGCTCCTTGGAATTCAATGGAAATTAGAACAGAGTGTTTACCATCTTTCTTAGCCTTTTCAATTTAATCAATGATCGAAGCCAGGGCTGTGATAGTTGACCTACCAGGAACAAAGCCATGTTGGTGGATGTTGATGTAGTTATTCTTCATAAGGCGGTTGGTGATACAGTTTGTGTCCAGGATTTTACCCGTGATTGGCGGAAGGGAAATGGGTCTGTAGTCTCTGGGGCTAGTGTGTGGTTGTTCACGGTTCTTTGATATAAGTTTGATTGAGGCAGACTTCCAGTAAACAGGGAAGTACACAATCTGAAGGCACCGATTATATAGTCAGCAATGGTAACATTATTTCTTTGTTGTTGATTAATGAGATGTTTTCTTATTTAGCAGCTGAGTAATTGGGAGCATTCCCAGTACGACAATAAGGTGTTATTGCATACATCTCTATTCCACTTCTGTGTAGCTAGACATGAATGAAATGGTGTAAGTTGCTATAATAACATGTATACAGGTAACTGAATTACCTAGTTCTTTGAAGATTGTAGTAATTTGTTGCAATAAATTATCATGAGTATGCATTATTGTTTGTATATTTGCATTATATGTATAAAATAATATAAATTAAAATTTATGAGAACTTCAACTATATCTTTTTCATGAAACTTGTATACTTTCTTCAGTTTATTATATGTTAAAATTAATGATATCATTATATGTTAAAATAGTTGCAAAAGTATATTAAATTTATGCACATTAATCCATTAATATATTGTTATCATTAATTATTTAATTTTGATATCTATTTCAGGATATATAAGGCGATAGTGAACAAGAAAAAGTTAAAGCAACAGTTATTTTATGTTGTGGATATGTTGCATTAAATACCTCCTCTAATATTCTCGTCACTCGAATCGAAAGTCCATTAATATTTAAATCGGAATGTAATATAGCGTATAAATGAAATATGTTAGTGTATTAGCTTGCCTACTGCCATAGTTCGAATGCTGTCATCCCACGTGATCTTTATGATATCATTGGTAAACGGCCTTCCTATTGTTCTAATTTTTGCAATTCTGCTCTACGTGACGGCAAAAATTGAAAATTTTCAACTTCGTATTCGGTTGGCTTCACGGCAAAAGTGAGTCATTTTGCGGTTCCATCGTCCATTACCGAATGTAAAACCTGATAGTCATATGCGGTAACAGACGAGAAAACCGTCACTACCAGGCTTTAGAGCTGCCGGATGGCCGAGCAGTAAAGGCGGTCAAGGTGGCAGCCTACCACTATGGGGGACCCAAGTTCGAATCCAAACGGGTCAAAAAATCCCCAGGAATTTTTCGGGGTGGTCCGTTCAAATGTGTCGGGCCCCGTCCCTCACCGCCTGACAGCCCCATTGTTACGGTGACCATATTTTTGGGGGAAAATAAAGGACATATCGAAGAAAATAAAAAAATCTTATAAAATTCATAAGTTTATAGCATTTATTACATATACATACACATTGTAAAAATTCAAATAACATTAATTTTGATACTTTTCAGTAGAATTAATTTTTTTTTTAATGGCACTGGTTCACGCTTTAAAAAGTCATAAAATTCTATACAGTTCATTTGAAAGTTGTATTTGACAGAAATAATGTGCTTACTTTTAACTGGGTTTTTTCATTCGTCCACATATTATTCACCAATGAAAATATTCGTTCGACGGGGCATTAGATCCAGGAAGACAAAGAAAATTCTACGATTTTACAAATGTTTTTGAAAGCAATTTCTTTTGTTGTAAAATGTTCAAAAATCTCAACCCACTTTTGATGGCAGGGCTTGTTATTCTGTCACTATTCGTCAATCTTTTCGTTTGTGACATATTTTTTTACACACGAAACTTCATCAAATAATTCACTGTCGAGTATATTTACAGACCAATGATTCGAAATAAAAATATAGCTTTCATCTATCTTCACCCACAAAGGGATTTTGACTAATGTAACCCATTCAAACACCTCTATTTCAATAAAACACATGTCCCAATTATTTAGTATATTAACAGTAAATATGTCACATGCTCGAGCCCCCGAAGATTGTCGACAAGTGTCGACGAATGTTCACCAACGCTCCAAGTGTATCATTCACCAACCAGAGAGTTAAACTATCACAAAAATCCCCATAAGTGTGTCCACTCCTTGGTACTGTCAAAGGGCCGTTCGGTTGGCGACACACTGCACTACCGCACTCTATGTAGCAACGTAAGGACACGATGACAACTCTGATCGTGATGGCGTACACGAAACTAACTTGTTCAATATATTATTAAAAAAGTTGTTAAACTTTGCATTGATTTTACAAAATAAAGGACAAAATGCCTATTTTATAAAATAAATAAAGTTAGAGGACAGAGCAGTGAAACAAAGGACTGTCCTCTTAAATAAAGGACATATGGTCACCGTACCCATTGTGGGCCTGACCGAACCCATAATGGGTTTGCAAAAAGAGGCCCACAGAGCAGAAAGAGTTTTTTAAAAAAAACCAGGATTTAGCGTTCTCTGCCAAATGCCAACCACTTCCATAAACTTTGCCAAGGAGAATGCTAAAGATTGCATTCTCGGGCTGGTGAACAACAGATGTTTACAGAGACAATTTTTTTTATTATTTTATTAAGTTTTTTTCATTTTTTTAACTTTACATTTTTTTAATATTTTAAAATGTTAAACAAATAAACAACGAAGAAATATATAATAAAAACAATGAAATTTACAATACATACATATAAATATAAGAAAATTAAAACTGCACATGATTGTTTTGATACTTATAAACATTTCTCTTTAACATTTTTTGGGAATTTTAAATTATAGAATAAATAAACAATAAAGAAATATATAATAAAAACAATAAAATTTACAATACATACATATAAATTAAAATAAATATAAGAAAATTAAAACTGCACATGATTGTTTTGATACTTATAAACATTTCTCTTTAACATTTTTTGGGAATTTTAAATTATAGAATAAATAAACAATAAAGAAATATATAATAAAAACAATAAAATTTACAATACATACATATAAATTAAAATAAATATAAGAAAATTAAAACTGCACATGATTGTTTTGATACTTATAAACATTTCTCTTTAACATTTTTTTGGAATTTNTTTTTGTGCATTTTAAAATAAAGAAGAAATAAACAAAAAAACAATGCAAATCAGAAGAAATGCAAATAAATCTAAGAAAATTAAAATTTATAATTTTCTTTTTTGTATTTATAAAGATTTATCTTATAATTTTTTTTGTGCATTTTAAAATAAAGAAGAAATAAACAAAAAAACAATGCAAATCAGAAGAAATGCAAATAAATCTAAGAAAATTAAAATTTATAATTTTCTTTTTTGTATTTATAAAGATTTATCTTATAATTTTTTTTGTGCATTTTAAAATAAAGAAGAAATAAACAAAAAAACAATGCAAATCAGAAGAAATGCAAATAAATCTAAGAAAATTAAAATTTATAATTTTCTTTTTTGTATTTATAAAGATTTATCTTATAATTTTTTTTGTGCATTTTAAAATAAAGAAGAAATAAACAAAAAAACAATGCAAATCAGAAGAAATGCAAATAAATCTAAGAAAATTAAAATTTATAATTTTCTTTTTTGTATTTATAAAGATTTATCTTATAATTTTTTTTGTGCATTTTAAAATAAAGAAGAAATAAACAAAAAAACAATGCAAATCAGAAGAAATGCAAATAAATCTAAGAAAATTAAAATTTATAATTTTCTTTTTTGTATTTATAAAGATTTATCTTATAATTTTTTTTGTGCATTTTAAAATAAAGAAGAAATAAACAAAAAAACAATGCAAATCAGAAGAAATGCAAATAAATCTAAGAAAATTAAAATTTATAATTTTCTTTTTTGTATTTATAAAGATTTATCTTATAATTTTTTTTGTGCATTTTAAAATAAAGAAGAAATAAACAAAAAAACAATGCAAATCAGAAGAAATGCAAATAAATCTAAGAAAATTAAAATTTATAATTTTCTTTTTTGTATTTATAAAGATTTATCTTATAATTTTTTTTGTGCATTTTAAAATAAAGAAGAAATAAACAAAAAAACAATGCAAATCAGAAGAAATGCAAATAAATCTAAGAAAATTAAAATTTATAATTTTCTTTTTTGTATTTATAAAGATTTATCTTATAATTTTTTTTGTGCATTTTAAAATAAAGAAGAAATAAACAAAAAAACAATGCAAATCAGAAGAAATGCAAATAAATCTAAGAAAATTAAAATTTATAATTTTCTTTTTTGTATTTATAAAGATTTATCTTATAATTTTTTTTGTGCATTTTAAAATAAAGAAGAAATAAACAAAAAAACAATGCAAATCAGAAGAAATGCAAATAAATCTAAGAAAATTAAAATTTATAATTTTCTTTTTTGTATTTATAAAGATTTATCTTATAATTTTTTTTGTGCATTTTAAAATAAAGAAGAAATAAACAAAAAAACAATGCAAATCAGAAGAAATGCAAATAAATCTAAGAAAATTAAAATTTATAATTTTCTTTTTTGTATTTATAAAGATTTATCTTATAATTTTTTTTGTGCATTTTAAAATAAAGAAGAAATAAACAAAAAAACAATGCAAATCAGAAGAAATGCAAATAAATCTAAGAAAATTAAAATTTATAATTTTCTTTTTTGTATTTATAAAGATTTATCTTATAATTTTTTTTGTGCATTTTAAAATAAAGAAGAAATAAACAAAAAAACAATGCAAATCAGAAGAAATGCAAATAAATCTAAGAAAATTAAAATTTATAATTTTCTTTTTTGTATTTATAAAGATTTATCTTATAATTTTTTTTGTGCATTTTAAAATAAAGAAGAAATAAACAAAAAAACAATGCAAATCAGAAGAAATGCAAATAAATCTAAGAAAATTAAAATTTATAATTTTCTTTTTTGTATTTATAAAGATTTATCTTATAATTTTTTTTGTGCATTTTAAAATAAAGAAGAAATAAACAAAAAAACAATGCAAATCAGAAGAAATGCAAATAAATCTAAGAAAATTAAAATTTATAATTTTCTTTTTTGTATTTATAAAGATTTATCTTATAATTTTTTTTGTGCATTTTAAAATAAAGAAGAAATAAACAAAAAAACAATGCAAATCAGAAGAAATGCAAATAAATCTAAGAAAATTAAAATTTATAATTTTCTTTTTTGTATTTATAAAGATTTATCTTATAATTTTTTTCGATATTTTTAATAAAACTTTCTTCTCAAATCTGTGAAAATAAAAATAAAAATAATCAATAAATTTATCTAAACTATTCAAATTATTGAATAATTTTTAAATCAGTAAGTTTATTTTATTTTCTATAAACAATTACAGTATTTACAAATTAAACGAAAATTATTCGGTGCATAATTATTAATTTGCTACTGTTGTGCCATTTATTATGTTTTAAATATATTATTATTAATTTGATTACTTTAGAATCTTCGTGTACTGATATTTCACATAAACATGCTAAATATTTTAACCTCTAGTCCCATTAACCGTCTTGCTTTCCCTGTGTTACGAGACTAGTACACTTCCAGAATATATTCTTTTCGATACTTGAACAAGAATATATATATAAATAAGTCTAATGCCCTAAAAGCCTACTCTAGTCTGTCTATATGTAAAATTTCAATCTTATAAAGAAAATGATGTATCTCCACGTTAATACACTTTACCTATTCTCTGTTATCTGGCTATTATGTTTGTGGTATATTGGGGATAGAAATGGTGTTTTTTATTTTATAAGTTGAGAGTAGAAAATCTTCTAAATGTTAAGTGTTAAACAATTCTGATTAAACACTTACCCGAGACGAATTCGGACCAAATCAAGTAGATGGATACTTGATGCAATGATGGAGGAAGAGATCCTTATTCAAACTGAACGTATTCAGTTTCGCCATTCTTCATGTTTCTCCATGCTTTCTGTGCTGATCTGAATGTGAAAAAAAAAACAAATATAATTATTTATTGATAACTTCTATCTGAATTAAAATTTTATCAAAACATATTGAGAGCGCAATATCGAGGTTCGGCTGTATTTGTATTGATTGATTGCAAATATTACATTATATCAAATTGAGAATCAAAAAATGTTATATTTATTTTGAATGATATTCTTTCAGTGATATTATAAATTCAATTTTACTATTTTAAAAGTTTTATAATTATTTGGCTGCAATTTGAAAAAAATGTACTATAAATTTCCACTATTAAATATTGCAGCCCGACAATAAATAACTGCTCGTTATTATTATTTTGATTTGTAGCTTATCTTTTCATTGGATTAGAAATGAAACTAGTTTGGTTAATCTCGATGTAGCTTCAAAAAATATAGGAAAGTTATCACATTCTCATAAAAATTACGAAATTTTCAAGCTCAAATCTCTGTGAATAATTGTTGCTGTTTAAGATACTTCGGTTTAGCATCACACTGGATTCAGTGAGAATTTAAAAACAAACGAATGACCGAGCTAAATCAAACTTTGTTTGTACTGACATATACAGAATCTTACCTCTTCACTGGTTTCCATACTGCCTTGAAGAAAGATCCGGCTTTTTTCAATGCTTTTTTATCTCTAATAGCACATCCGATAGTATATCCAATGGCATGACCAATAGTATATCCAATGCTATTCTTATTTTCTGTGCTATCTTCGTGCTTACTGAATTCTTTATTAATTTTGATATTTGCTGGAAGACCCATAATATCATCATTCAATTCATTGTCCTCCTTATCTTCAACTAATCGCTGACTAAAAGTAGGAAGAAAGAATTTACAATGCAGTAAATTTTTACAATTAAAAAACTTATAGAAAAATTATAATACATTACTTGGGAAACATTTTATTTAATATTTCCCAAAATTTTCCATGAATAAACAAATTATCGCTTAGACGTCTATTAAGTTATGGCAACGCAATACTTGGGCGATCTGCCTAGGGGGATGCCTTCTGATTTACGATTAAAGTTCCGATGCCTTCCGATCCCTTAGTGATCTACGTTATTAAAGTTATTACTATTTTGTGGATATTTAGAGCCTCCCCTATTCAAATTCATAGTTATGTACAGAACTCGTTACTGTAATTCTTATCTTTGAGATTTTTCGGTTTAATGCCGATCTCAGAGGTGGACAGTGGCGCTCTATCGAACTTTGAATATATATAGATGTTGTACGTGTCGCTTAACAATGTACTCAATAACATCACGACAGAGGTCCACAGTTTTTAATGGAGCCAAAGAATGCGTAGCCACCTGTACCTTTTTTACGTGTAGATAGGTATAGATAGATATATAAATAAGTATCATCATTGTGCTACATATACGGAGTGACCATATATTCATTGCCTAAACAAGGATAGTGTTGAATAATGAGAGAAAAATCTGTTTTAGACACATTTCGTTCTCATTCTTCAAAACTCATTTTTACAAATGACTAAACTTAATTCTAAAAATCCAGTAACGAGTTGCTTATCTTTCCCGGTACATTTGGTGCCTGCATCCGCTACGATGTTTAACTTAAAAACAATTTTTAGATTTTTAACTATTATCAAATAATAAAAAAGCTTAATTTTGAGGGTAGAGATGGGTTTTATAAAGATTTGTAAATACTAACAAAGAGTAAAATCGTCGTTAGGTCCAACCCTACTTCAGATAAGGCAATTGATTCCTTTTATCACTCCACCCTCGACATATAACCAGCATAATTTAATAGCATCGATCCTTTTAATATACAAACTTCCCTAAAAATGTCGGAAATTTTCAATAATAGCACAGGAGTTACTAAGCTTTAAAGAAGATGAACAATATCGTGCCCCCCAACACACACACACACACATTCATGTATACATACAAACAAAAGTCCCGAATTTTGTTGCATTTCCTAACGTTTCAAGATCCCCTCCATCTTGTAAAATGTACGATATGTAAAAGCCTTGGGAATCGTGTTTGATCGATCGCAATACTTTCCCTTTATTGTATATAATAGAGCCGAGAATGTAAAAATAATGTAGTGACTATAAATTTGTCACATTGAATTACAAGTCGTATTAAGGGATCCTATTTATATTTTTGAGGTCTAAAACAAGAGAAAATTGAGACGTGTGTTCATCCTGTACATATAATTTATACGAATGGTAGAATATACTATATAAATTTACATAAGTGATTTCAGATACATTTGAAATCACTTACGGTATAGCAAGAAATGGTCCATAGGACCATACCTTACTATATTGTACTTTAATATAAATGTACTATATTCTCATATATTATACTTTTGTATATATATTCATATATATATACAATAAATATATGAATATTTATATAATATGTATATATATATTTCATATATTATACTATATATTATACTTTTGTCCACCTTGGACGTTCTTGTGTACTAGGATTTGTTATAATGAGGGAAGAAAAACAAAATTCGAATTAAAATATATTTACTGTACATATAAGATTTTATATGCCACCACAATCGAGCATTTCGGGTCAACGTTCCTCCTCAGCAAACGTTAATTTTCATGTTCATAGTTTAATATACCCATATGTTTCTTTAAACATTTTCGGAAGAGACCTTTAAGATGCGATTATTTAAATTTTCCCAGCAAAACTTTTTCTAAATATTGTTTTGTTTATTACAACACAGTTTCATTCAGTTAAACATCACTAATTCGTTAAACGAAGTACCAATCCATCGTCCCACGGAGTAATTATCCAGCTCACATCACCTTACCTCACTCTGCAGCTGTATTGGTATATTAAAATATAAACATTTAAAATATAAACATAAAAAGATAACGTCTGCTGAGAACAAACGTTGGCCCGAAAAGCTCGATTATAGTAGCATATAAGATAATGTTATAGTAAATATATTTTAATTCGAAATTATGTGTTTCTTTTTCCTCATTATAACAAGTCCAAAGTGGACAAAAGTATAATATAAGTAATTAAGGACAAGAAGCACGTATCAACACGATATAACTGTATTACATATAAACAGTAATATAACTTACCTGTTAAAGCGATCGCACGAAATCTCATAAAATGGCCGAATCTTCTTCAAAGCCTGTTCATAAGCAGTATTAATATGATTTTCCATAAGAGATTTTTTAAATCCACTTTGTGCGGGACCATCCTGCTCCAAGAGGCCTTTTTTCTTGCCGCGATATTTAAAATGATCCAAATTGTATGGATCCACGAATCCCGCACATCCATCCAATCTCTCCCTGAAAATGGACAGAGAAAATTCACATAACACAATAAATGTTAAATTCCGAAACCTTTCTTCTAATCTTAAAATTGAATATACAAAAATTTGCCAACGAATGCTTATATAAATTTTTAGAGAAATTATTACACTCTAAAGAAACTTTTCATTTAATTTACCAAAATTTTCTATCAAACTGTAAGCTAAACAAAGCATCACTTAAGGACCTCGTGAAATTACGTTAATTTGAGCGAGGAAAAGAACTTTTTATAAATTTAGCTTAAATCTTCAATAAGTATAAATCATATTATTATAAAATAAGATATATTAAAATTTAATAACTTATAAATCATATCTATTAATTAACTACTAATTTATTAATTTATGACAATAGATCAATAAATTCATCTATTCTATTGTGTAGTGAACCGAAAAGGCTACAGGTGACAAATAAGTCTGTTAAATTAGGTTTATAGAGTTAAAAACGTATTCTGTTTACTTTTCCAAGTAACAGTAAATGTAAAAAGCCCTAAGATGTATTTACTTAGCAAAAGACCTTAAACTCTAAGCAGTTGAACTCGCAAGCAAATTCAACCCTTTCTTGTGAACACCAAAGTGATTATGAATACAGCAAAACAAAAATGTTTGCTTAAAAACTACATTCAGAAATATCGAAGAGTTTAAATCTTTAAATCAAATTAAATTAATTATCGTTTGCACCGAGCAATTTCATTTTAAAGCCATTAATTTTTCGAATGGATTTCTTATTTGCATAAATAACAATAAAATGTGAAAAATCTCTTACTCGAAATGTTGAGGCAAACGATAATAGCTCACAGAATCATAAAACATTTTCCAATTTATCAAAAAGCGCACTCTTTGCAAAACAATAAAAGAGCTAAACAATCAAAGGTCAATTGTTGAGATTCTTTGTTACGCGTTAATTGAAGTAGATAGGAATTTTAATGATTAATTTTTGGTTTTATTTTCGATTTTTAATTTAAATTTTGAATTTTTGAGTCCCTGTGCAATAATGATTAAAGGGTGATGGTCATGGCAGTAAAGGCTTTGGCCCACCTCTCTGGAGGAGTTGCGATCGAATCCGGGCGAGCAACCCTCCAAAAATTTTTCATGAAAGCTCTATCTTAGATACGTTGAGCTCCCTCCCTTACCATTGTGGGTTGGACCATACCTATCATTGTGGGTATGGTCCAACCCACAATGAACATGATTGAAGGCCTTTAGAGTTGCCTAATAGTGTCTGAGTGGAAAAAATCATTGAACATTTGTAGTTTTTTATGAGTTTGCGCCTCGCTGACGGACTGACAACGAATATAATTTTCTGAGTGTTCTTCACGTTTGTAACACCTAAATAGGGATCAGTTTCGTATTGATAGTTCTCCCGAGAGGCACTTTATTCCACGTGTCATGTTACCACATAGAAGTAATCTAATTAATCTTAATATTCACATGGCAAAGAGAGTAATATTACAAAAAACGGCTGAGATACAAAAGGTTAATGAATATAACTACATCTAAACCAGCATCTGTGCTACAGAATTACTGTATGCTGTGTTGCTGTTGATGGCAGTTGATTAATCAATTATTATACAATAAATAATTAAAATTACTGCAACATAGTTCAATTATATTAATGCAAGTAAAAATATTACAGGTTTAAGTTGCATTTGCGTGTTGTATCATTCACTAATCATTCTGTATATAAAGAAAAACATCTATATTTGGCAGCACGGCAACGGCGGCTGTCGTTTCGTCATTGCCGTCAGTAGTCGAAGTAGGATCCTACAGCAACTTCACTAGTGTCTATAGGAAAATGAAATCAAATGACCATTAGAGCTTAAATGTGCCAAAAGAGCTGCAATAAGAATAGGGTCTATTTGCTCTTCTGAAACGTGCTGGTCAGCTCGGGTTCCATTTGATTTTTGCGTTGATCTTGGTTTTAGACAATTTAGAGCTCATTTAATCATGTCTGTTTGTGATCTGCGTTCGGTACGTTTCACCTGTAGTAACTGAATAAGTCCAAGAAACGTTAGAGCTTTTTAATTGTTTCAGACTGCTCAAACTCTAAAATAAGAGCTATCCGGTTCGGCAATGGTTTAATGCCATCTATGTTGACCACGTGTATCAAGAAGAACAATTCTGATACACCCAAGACACACTTTTCGCAGTTGATGCCAATGCCTTATTCGGACAAGCAGCGAAAAAGTTGTTCGAGATTGAACTGATATCCAGGAGTTCGATGTTCGAGATTGACCTGATATCCAGGAGTTCCACACTAAGTCAACTTTTGAAAATATTATCTTGTCACGTAAGTTGCTAGCAAAATTCTGTCAGTGTCGTAGCAACTGTCGCATAGCTTGATACGATTCAACATGTGATAATCTCCCGCAGGTTGACCCTTGGTCAGGATGCAATGAACAATGTTGTGCTTAATTTTGTTCCAGACGGGCATGGGTGGAGGATGCAGCACCGGTTTTGGACCGTTAGCCGCCTGCGTGTCAGAGATATTTGGCCGCCCCTACAATGCTGTTCGCGAGTAAATTCAAAATTTAAGCCAACGCATGACAACCTAGTGGTATGTCGAGAGGGGTGAAAAAGTCCATTAAAGTATTTGATATATATTTACTTTAATTTTGTTCAAATCGAGCCATAATACAGGACTTATTCGAAGTTTTATTTCTGCGTCGCCATAAAATAGAAGTTGTAAATTAAAATGATTTTTTTTTTATTTAGTACATAAATATGATACATACGTATGTGTATACGTTACTGTGAATGACCGATATCTGGCGAATGTCAACATTCTCCGGTGAATGTCAGCATTCACACAGTCGTTTCATTTATGTACGAAATATTTGCTAAATATCATCATTTCTCACTTACACCGGCAAATGTCGACATTCAGCATGCACTGATGGTGAACGTTGAACATAAATATTTTTATTACGTTAAGACAAAAATGCAACTTTTTAATATGTCAAAATAGGAGAAAGCTTAAGTAACAGCACATGCAAATAAACTGTTGAACCTAAAACGAACAGTACATTCTAAATCATTAAAGAAAATAATACAATAATAAACTTACACATAAATTATGTGATTAACGTTCAGTCTTATTTATTGCAACAGCTTAAACTGTTATGGCACTTTGAATTGCACAAGAGTCCCTTGCTTTTACAACTGCACTTCTTTTTGCAACGACAGCGTATGTATAGCCTTGCCCTCCACTTTTCGAATTAGCTGCAGCTGCTTCTCTCAGCGATACTGCTTGAGAAGAAATCTCATCTATGGAAAGTAACGTTTCTTTACAAATTACGAACTGATTACGTTATTACGAATTGATCTGTTAATAGTGTCTTTTATTCTGATATCGCCGACGCCTTACCGACGACCACTCTTATCCTGCGGAGGATGAGAGGGGTCAAAAGAACCTGATAAATCGTTCAAAAGAACAAAAACGCCATCCAGTGACAAAGTGGGCGGTTTCCACCAAACCGTTGCCGGGAAAAAAGGTACGATCTTGTTATACCTCCGGCTACCCAGAAATGATTTGACGATAGACTGTCACCTCTCTGTCGACATCGGCTTCTCAGGTGTCGTTTTCACCTCCACCAAAGCTTATCTGTGCTTGTCGATATACACCGGCGATTGTTCGAATGTATAATAATATAACCAAATATTCGGTCTTTCACCGACGTATTTTGTATGTGTCGATATTCACCGAAGAGTATCGACATTCTCTAATTTCGGTCTTTCACAGTAACATATATAAAAATTTATTTAAATATGATTATTACGTTATTAATTCACATTAATAACGTTGATGCGCATTTCTTTGTTTATTTAATTAGGCTGCAATTTGAAAAATTGTAGAGCTATAAATTCCGTAACAGATAAATGGACTGTCCGTTTGTCTGTCGTTTCTTAATCTCGAGAACAGTTCGATACATGAAAATCAATAGATGTTGGCCATCTCTTATTACACAATAAACACAGTTTAAAAATTATAACGTGCACTTTAATCGTTCTTCAAAAATAAACAATTATCTTATTCGATATG